GGATTGCTTTCTAGCCACCACTCTTTGACTTTCTTTATGAACCCCAGGTGTCCTAGCCACATGTTTTCAAACCTAAAGGGAGCAGGACCAACACTTCTCACTTCCTCCCTACAGATTACAATATGCCAATGGTCAGAAGTCACCCTTGGATATGCTCTAGAGCTTAGATTCCCCCAATGTTCTTCCTAGTAATTTGAGAATAGAAATCTATCCAGCTTAAAGCAAATCGGGTTCACTTGGAGATTGGACCAAGTAAAATAGTTGTGTGATAATGGGATCTCTTTAAGCTCGTAAACATCCACAAATTGATTGAATTTCCTCATACTCAAGGTCGATCTCCGCCTTAGACTATTTGTCTCTTCCAGGAATCTTATAACATTAAAGTCACCTCCAAGATACCAAGGCCCTTCCCATAGTCCCCTTATATTGGTCAGTTCTTTCCACAACTTCCTTCTCTCTCTGTAATCATTTGAACCATATACATTGGTAAGCACCCATTCAAACCCATCCTCCACTTGTTTAAACTTCAAGGCAATGGTCCCTATATAAGAACAAAGGTTATATACAAATTACAAAGTTGCAATAATTACAGAGATACTGTGATTATTCAACTAGAGCTTAAGTTTTAGCAGTGCTAATGATAGAGATTGAGAAGATGATTACAGAGATAGTGTGGTAGAAAGGGAATCTTGGGTAGTGGTAGAAGGGCTCAAAAAGAAAGATTGAAGATCTTTGTAGTACAAACATATATTGAGATAAGTTAGATGCTTGGCCAGGGATCTAAGAAGTGAGAACATCCTTTACATGGACCCATCGATATTGCCCAGTCAATGCATCTAATGAACTGAAATCAATTGTATTGAGCATTATCCACCTGGAGGATATGAATGTCTTAATGTAAGCAAAAGCATCAGGAAAATCAAGGGTTAGGTATCAGGGGCTAAACCTTAAAAGAGGTGCTTGAAAAGTGAACACTCTCTAAACATGTTTCTCTTTCCCATTCTTTTTCACAACAAATAAAATTGCAATAACTTAGTGATTAAAAAAATCTTAAACCCTTCAGCATTGACTCTTTAAAACCAAAAGAAAGTTTAAAAGAAAAAGTAAAGAGTTGAAGCATCAGCTCTAGTTTGGTAACCTAATATTTCATATGAAGTAAATTTTATAGCATTTCATAATTTGAATAGCAGAAAGAATGAAACAACTACAATCAGAAAAATGAATAACTTACAAACCAGAAGAAAAAATAAATGGAAAAAATATCTTTACATACCTCCTCCACAAGATCCCCAGCAATTCCCCTAACAACTTCACATAAATTGTTCTCGGTGAATGAGTCACTGATCCAAAAACTCATGTCTTTGTAACAAGGAGGAAACTGTAAAAGACAGTACTCTCAATTTTTAGAGCATAAAGGTAAAGTAATCTCAGATACCAGGGCATTAGGAAGCTCAGATAACGAGTATAATGCCACAATGTCTGTAAACAAGCCTAACCATGCACTGTAACCATCTTAACCCTTTTCTGTATGTCATGTAAAGGACATAGCTCTGATCGGAATTATGATAGAGCACAACAGCGGGACAGGATTTGTATATGGGAACCCAAATAGTTAGGGTTAAGATTGAGTTGAACTCTGATCAGAATTAGAATAACTGACCCGATGGAATAAAAGTGATACTTCTATAATTTTGTCTGCATAAACTACAAGGGTTGAGTTAACTATACAACTTTGTCAGTATAAGCCAGTGATGGCAGAGCAATGAGCAAGTGGAACTGCAGAAATATATAGTATTACAAGTATAACTATGGCATTGTCCAAAGACAAGGGCTAAGGTGCTTAACCTTTGAAAATGGCTTGAACTTGACCCCGAGTTGACCTTCAGAAAACTGCATACACGAAGTTCCATATCAGGTATATTAATAGATACTAAAGCTTTTAAGAATTTTAATTGTCTGCTGAATTCGTTTAAAGCAAACAAATGCATAGAAGAACAGAATAAGGCAAAATTATATAGAGATCATGTGATGAATTAGGAAATACCTGAGAGGTAAACCGCTCATCAGTTGACCAGAAAAGCCTAATATCCGGTATCTCAAATAGAACCATTGCAAGCCGCTCCAAACCAAGTCCAAAAGCCCAAGCAACATTATTAGTTTTACCACTTCTCTTTAATATTTCCTGCTCCGTCACTCCACATCCTAAGACCTCCAACCATTTCTCCTATAAGATTTGGCAGATAGTTGATAATAAGGCTCATAAAGTACTACAAAAACAATGCAACAATATCAAAGTGACAACATGTAAATATATTTTTGGATGAATGGCCAAAAAGTAAATATGCTACTTTGATTTGATATATAACCAACTAGTTGAACTCAGGCTGACAAGTGTTAGAATGTGGGCTTGTGTCTGAGAGCAGCCACTGTGTGCAAAATATGCCGAAGTATTGAATCTAGTCCACCCCTCCACCCCCAAAGATCCCACATAGCCAGGACCAACTCACCAACATTGGGTAATGACCAATTTATATGCTATCCGGTAATGATGTTGCTGAGAGTTATTTCGGTGTTTTATTTCTTCCCTTTTTATGTCCTTTTATAGGCTGTTTATGTGTTATTTGGGCAGAAAGTAACTTAATCTTTTCTCTTCTTTGATTTAGGACACTCCTGTCTTTATTTTATACCAAGCAGGATTGTCATTGCAATTAGACATCGTTATTGATTAATATATATACCCAGCCACCTGCTAGGTATATATATACTAAGCAGGATTGTCTTTGCAATTGGATTTTTGAAGTCTGTTGACAGCCCTAGTTAAGAGTGTATGTAAGTATGTCCCATAAGGGCATTTATGTTGCTTCATCTTAAGTTGTTTAAGTTATGTTTTAAGTTCTGTCCCCAAAACTTATTAGGGACAAACAGTCATTGTACTTGGTTAAAGCCTATAAATATCAATCATCTAGTAAGAGTCTCATAAGCTCTAATCATTCTGTTCGTTCTCTTTTTCTTCTTTCAGACTCTCCACTCTCTCCTCTCTCTTTCTAATTACATATAAAGCAAACTGATATCAGAATACTTCTTAAATAAAAGAATCATCCTGATTAAAAACAAATAAATAAAGGACTTTTTTTATCAGCAACACAGAAATGATTTCATTAATAAAAAGAGAGCATAGTTACAACAAGAGGTCATGAAAAAAGAAAAAACACAGCTTTAGAAAAGCTGACCCAACCCAAGATTACAATTGAGCCCAATACAGATGACTTCTTTGTACCCTTTGCTTAGCTAGACCACCTGCCAAGCTGTTGGCAGTTCTCCTCAGTCCTCACCCATTTAACTTGGATTGCCATGCCCTCTGAGAGCCATTTAAATTGCCTGAATTCATTTCTAAGATGCTATGACTCCTCCCCCTTCTTCAGCCAGTTCACTACAGTTCTCAAGTCACCCTCAATGATCAATCTATCAATACTCAAATCTTTAGCCTTCTCAACCCCATATACTGCAGCCAATAGTTCTGATCTTGCCACATCACCTTGCTCAGCAGGTCTGAGTATAAAGCTAAGATGTTTCCTTCCTCAGCCCTAATGGCCCCCCATGCCTGAGGGGCCCGGATTACCTACACAACTCCATCAAAACTCAATTTTCTTCCAGCTGCATATTGGGGGTGACCACTTCTCAACAGATTTCTGTCTTCTAGATGACGAGGCAGCAATAACACCCCAGGCCCTAATCTAAAAAATGTCTCCAACCTTAAAATCTGAAAATAAATTTCAGACTTTTTGCCCAATATTCCACTCTGAGATATTCATCAAAAAAAAGTATGCCACTCTGACAATATGAAGGACTTTTCTCATTCTCACCTGTGTAAGTATCCAAGTTGAGATCAAATCACCCAAAAAATAGTAATCAATAGAATAGGGGATTGGCCCTGTTATTCTTCTTTTACAGAAAACTTAATCCTCTTCATCAGTCTTCCTCTTGGCTTTTCCTTGTGGCCATTTTTATTTTCACGTGTGTGTTTGTAGCTGTAGAGATTCTTGTTGTAATGTAGCATGGAGTTTGGCCTTGCCAACTTAAGTAGCTTCTCTAAGCTAGTTTGGAATTCTTAAGCTTTCTGCTAGATGGCATCTTAGTGATTCTACTAACCTAGATTGTCATGTTCTGTCAGGTGCAGATTTGGTTCTTCATAGTTCTTGCATCTGAACTTTTATGGATTTTTTAAATTTTTCAAAAGAATTATAGAAGGATGGGCAAAAATGAAGGGCTGCATCTGGACTTTTATGTGATAGGTGAATACCACTTAGACTAAAAGGAAAATTCTATAGAACAGTTATAAGGCCAGCTATGTTGTATGGAGCAGAGTTGGGCAGTCAACTAGAAGGTAAAGGGGTAACCTAAAAAGGACATGGGTAGAAGTAGAAAGAAATGATTTAAGCACCACTAATTTAACAATGGAATGGATTGGAAAAACAGGATTCATGTAGCCGACCCTTATAGTTGGGATAAGGCTTGGACAATGATAACGATGATGATTTCTTGCACTTTTTTTCCCTGGACAGAGCCTTCCTACCCCTGCTTTTTCTGCATCTACTATCATTTTCTCAGGCAAACCTTCCTATTTTTTTTTGTTTTTTTGGCCCGGGGGGGTGTTAACAACAGGATTAATATCAGGCAGTGTGAACTACATCCATTTAATTTACCAGCTGAGCCAGCTGGCACCTTTCTTTTACATACATCGAGTCACATATTAGAAACCATATTTTAGAATATGAAGCATGTGTAAGCATCTATAAATGACAAAACACAATCCTCCATACAAGCAGCATATTAGATATTCCTTATTATCCCAAAAAGATTACATTCAAATCTGTTTGATAAAAGCAGCTTTATGTGGAATACAATCCCAGCTTCTGTGTTGTGGTCCATTTGGACTGAAAGAAATGGTAGAATTTTCTGTAATAGGTCAAAGGATTTGGATGATGTAATTCAGAAAGCTGTGGGTAAGCTGATTTCTTGGATTTCCATTTCTGGGGAGTTCAGGAATATTATCTTGCCTGTATTATTTCAATCTTGTTCCTGGTGGAAGTTGTAATCTCGGCTGCTTTTTTTTTTTTGATAATTGTAATCTCGGCTGCTTTTTAGACTGCCTTTTTGGGTCTGAATTGCAGTTTGTTTGTGTTGAATAAATTTACTTTACCTTTTCCAAAAAAAGAAAAAAATCCACAAACAGGGCAACTGCACAAACCCAAAAAGTACATAAATAAAAGAAAGGTCAAAGCTACATTACCAAAAATATACAACAAATGAGTCGTATGCAGCACATGAATGGAAACCCCTGTCCTCCCTGACTGGAAGAAAGGGCATAAGGAAAACCCTGTTCTCCCTGACTAGGACAAACCCAGTTCTTCAGCACAGGAGATAGGAGATGTACCAATACTCCTCCCCCCTCCCCCCAAATCAAGGAAGAAGAAAGGTTAATAGAAGTTCAAACTGACAATGCAACACTACTTCACATGCTTTCAGGTTCAACAACTAACCTGAAAATATATCTCAAGTTCAAAAGATGGATTGGTAAAGGGAAAATAAGTATCAACCCAGCGCATTTCCACAGCACCTGTAAATTTCAAAAGACTTGGTTTAAGATACTTCAAGAGGCAAATAAATATATCTTAAAAATACTACTTTAAAGACCAAGAAAATACCAATTGATATCAAGTTTATAGACAAGACAAGGTTTCAGGTTTACCAAATAAGTGTCTCGCTAAACCCTCAAGACATTTCTTTAGATCTCCAGCAGCATATGATGTGGCATCCACACCAGATTCCTCCCATTCATTTGGATTAAAAACTCGCACTCCTTCCATCTGCATAGTTATAACACAAACACATCAAGGTAACAAAGAGGAAATTTGGAGAAGCAAACCAATAAAAATTTATGATTATTATAATCAATTGGTAATTGGGTGGATGCAATCAGGGCAGCTCGGAATTTGGCAGTATAGACAACTGATAAGGGAAATACTTAGCATAACAAGGGAGGTGCGGGTGTTTGTTTCAAGTGGGTAAGGAGATCAGCAAATGGTTTTGCTGACGCCCTAGCAAAACAAGGGACTGTAAGGGAGAGACTTTACTGGGCAGTGCTGTAATGTTTGATGTTTATTGGATCAACCTTTTCTAATAAGGGTTGACTTCTGCATTTCAGTTTTAATTTATCTCTAATGAAAGTTACCGTTTCTGATAACAAAATTATTGTAATCAAATGGAAGTAACACCTGATGGAACACTGGGTAATGAGTTGAATCAATAGAATCCCTACGATAAACATCTCCAGTTACAAGGAATTGAGTGTGTCCCCTCCTCAATAGTTCTGCTTGATGAGCACTTGTATGGCACCTCAAGACAGTTTGTGCATCAACATAGTATGTATCGTTGTAGCTCCTGCTTACATGGTCAGCAGGAACCAAAACATCATCAAAGTTCTGCAAGAAGTAAACCTCTCATCACAAGAAGAAATATGACCTCCAGATCATGTCAGCCATTAAGGGCAACAATTTAGGAATTCAAACAGAATTATAAAGGATCAACAGCAACAAAGGAGGATAAATGGTATGACACAGTAACAAGAAAAAAACAATTTTTAATATCATGCTGAGACCAAACTCAGAAAGACACAAGACACATGCTTATGCACGTGATATCTTGGAAACAAAATGCAATTAAAACTAAATGAATACAAAAAAAAAAAAATCATAAATGATGGAAGATCAACATGATGAGCCCTCTTAGTCACTGCACCTCATAATATGCCTTGTAAATCTAACAAAGTTTGATCCTTTCTGTACAAATAGTTCAGGAATTTTCTATGCAGTAAAACCAGATTCAGAGTTTGTAGTCAAACAAATCTCAATTGTTCTAATACCAAAAAAGAATGAATAGGAAACTTGTATTGAACCAAAGAAAAAAAATAAAATAGAGGGGCAATTATCAGAAATGCATTCAAGGATTCAATAGGATTTGATTAGGTCATGGTAGTGGTACAAATTCTATTATGCAAAGAAACAAAAAGCACTTTTCCCTAGGACTCCACTTTTGAAGTCATACTAACCTTTTTTTTGTGGTAATAAAAGCCACACTAATCAAAGCTGGTACATACCAGTAATCAAAAGCTGTAGAACACAAGGTGGTACAGACTAGTAAATATTAGTAGGCATCATTGGCTCCAAAAGATTTTT